ACATGACTGACTGCCTAGCTTCTATGTGCAGGGTCTAGACAATGACAATTCCCTTTACCTCATTTGGGACAACTCAGAAGTCTACCTACTCTCTAGAGTTCAGAGGAAGCTTTGGTTTTAAGTGCACCTCATTGAATTTTTGCCTAATCCTGAGTCTTCTTTCACTTCCTCACAACTTCAAAGGAACTTCATAATAAAGCTCCTGAGTCCACGTCTCTTTCTCAGTATCTGTCCCCAAGGAAGTTGACCCCAGAGAGCAATATGGCCATTGTAATTCCAGAGTACTTAGAAAGGGGTAAAGTGATCTCAGATGGGCCTGGGCAGTTAGACAAATAAAGATCAGATTAAATATAATGTGTTTGATTATAGTAAGTGCAATAGAAGTCCTGAAAGAATTTTAGATATGATGAAGATGATCGTTCTGGCCCCTGAAATAGGGCCCAATTATCTTCCCCTTGCTAATATGAAATAAGAGATTTGGCTTTCTTTTCTCTCATGGTGATATTCCAATCTTGACACTACATTGTCTTTCATCTTTAGAGTTCTCAATCACTGCCTTTCATAGAACAAGAATAAAATTATGTTGTGAGATTTTTAAGTTCCTTGAGACTCAAGAGTCTAAGTTTTCTAAGTGAATTCTCAGGAACAATTAGCATGATTCTGAATACAGAGTAAATGCTCAATACTGAAGTTGAATTAAAAGTTGCTCTTGGCACATGAGCTGCAAGAAAGGCTTTCCCTAGGCTGCCTCATCTGTCCTCATTATTTTCGAGTGTTCGTCACAGCTGCCTGCAGTCAGCTCTTTAGGCTTGGCAAGCACAAGGACTGGATGTATCAACATACTAAGAATAGATTTGTCTCAGGAGAACAGGCTCACATTAACCAAATCCCCAGAGACAGATGTTTAATGCCTGAACTCAAAGGTAGATCATCACATTTTCTCTTCTTCAGCAAACTACACTGAAAGCTCAAATATGACTAAGACGGTGCACATACATATGTTAGACTAAAAGTTAAATTACAATCAGAAATGTGTTTGGTAAGCATCGAATCAGAAAAAAAAGAAAGTCACTATGTGATTTGAATGTGTAAAAGCATCATTTCACTAATGTAACCTGGTTCATATATTTCTCGAATAAGTATTTTTCTCCCTTCTTAAAACTAGAAAACAAGTTTCTTAGTTCTTCAATAAACATGCAAAAAATTTATTTTCTTGGTGTTTCTAGCATCAAGGAACCATCTTCAAAGAAAGACACATTTTCTTAATGTTAATTACTTTACTGAGATGGTAGTTAATTCCTCCTAGAGTACTCATATGCTTTTAGAATAATTTTCTGCTATGTCTGATAAGACTGTATATAAATGATTTATTTTATTTCTGTCATATGAAG